CTTTTATAAAAAACTAAAGAGATAAACGGGTATTGACTCTGGTCTGACAGATCAGCGCCACCGTGTCACAAATAAAGGTTAATTAAAAGTTTAATGAGCTGATAGGAAGGCGGCTCTGTTCTGTGGAACCTCCAGTGATGATGGTGGATCATCGCCTTCATCTGACTGTCAAAGCGTCTTTAATCAGAGGCAGCTGCGATCCTGACCTCTACAGGAGATCCTCCAGCCTCTCCATCAATACGAGTCATTATTTTTCTTTTGTGTAAATTTGTTCACTTTCTTCATGAAAAGATTTCTTTCATAATTTAATTCCACTGACTAATTTCCAACAGTTTTATTGAAACAATACAAACATGGAATGAATGAAGACACCAACCACCAGGCTTATCTGGATTTATTAACTCTAGTTCTGCTGATGCTAGCAGCGCTTTGATCAGCCATCGGGGGAAATCTGACCCCCATCCACAGACGCCTCACATTCCAGGCAGCGAAGCTTTGAGGTTGAGGAGAATCGACACGTCGGACGGCGACAAGCAGAAAACCCCAAACTCCCTTAGAGGAGACTCCGCTGAACCAGCGTTCTCCTCCTGCCCCGCCTGTTTGAGGTGCTCCTTCAGCAGGATGGCAGGGCCCACCCGGAGACACAGGATGATGCAGGCCTCCTTCACGCTGTGCAGAGATGGAAGGACAGGTGAAAAAAACTCACCACAAACCAACAGCAGATTTACACAAAGAGGCCGTTTAAAAAAAACCCAACAACCCGTCATTCATGTAGATTTAACAATAGTCCAAAGTCAAAGTAAAACGACCAATCAGGGCCGTGCATGTTGCTGACATCACAGAGTCTATCTCTTTGTTAAACAGCGAGTGGATGAAGAGAGAAATTCAGCCGCTGGAGGAACTCCTGTCTGTGATACGGAGAGCAGTTCGCCCTGTTTACGGTAAGCCATTTCTGTATTTATTCATCCCATCATGTTTGTAACGAGTCTCTTCCATCTTTGTTCTAGATGAACGTGTTATCACGCACTCTATAGTGATATCACACTCAAATGATAGTGGTAGAGCTGGAACTAACAATTACCATGCAAATTACTTAATCTGCTGATTATTTTCTCGATTAATCAATATTGCTTTACACACACACACATAGATATATATATATCAGGAAATATTTGGAGCAGTCATGATGACGATGACAGAGCCCTGATCTAAATCCTGCCCTCTGCAGACCGGGTCTCCAGCTGCTGTCCAACACTCACTGCTTAAAGAAGTTCTCGGGTCTCCGGCAGTAATGTCCGAACAGAGGGAACAGGTTCCTGGTCATGTCGAACTGGAGCTGGGCCGCCCCCCCATCGCTGAAGTGATTGGCCAGAATGACCTGCGGGTAGAGCAGAGACAGAATGATCCGTCTGGTAGCGGCGACGCTCGGCCCGGTCGCAGAGCGACAGAGAACAGGAACGTCTCGTACCTCCTGGTAGATGAAGGCGTCCAGTTTTTCAGCCAATCCCTGCCAAGCCAGCTGGAAGAGAGAGAGACTCAAGACCTGATGGAGGTTCAGCAGTCTGTCCCTCACACACAGCATCATGGGGCAGGCGGAGCTGGACAGGGACATGGTGGACTGGTCTTGTGGAGCTGGGATGGACAGCCATCTGGAACACAGTCACCATGGTTACCAACCTCTATCCAAATCAACCAAACATTAAGGAGGCAGTGTCAAACAGGACTCACCTCTCCTGGCAGTACGGCTGAGCCTTCTCAGAGGTCTCCCTCATCAGGAAGTGCAGCAGGCGTCCCAGCATGTCCCCCTTCAGGCGGTCCAGCAGGGACAGCAGCCCATCGAACAGAGAGCCCTCCAGGGAAGTCAGGCGGCCGACTTCTGTCATTTCCAGGCTGCCCAGGACCTCCTGCTCCCCCAGAGAAATGGCCGCCTGCTGCAGCTGGAGGAAGAACTGCAGGAGAACGCCGTTGAGCTCCTATTGGTCGGTAACATGGGAGAACACGGCGATCGGGACACAGACTCACCACATTGTCTCCCCAGTCCCTCAGAATGGTGGAGATGTAGTTGACGGCATTGAGGATGGCGCAGTAGCGGAGCCCCAGAGGGCAGCGGGACTCTTCCTTCATCACCTGCAACATTCAGTCAGGGTCTAGTAGAACAGACCAAGGCTGCTCTGGGTTCTGCTGACCCGGATCCTCTGTTTGGACCTCTTTTACTACTGATTTCTCCTTTTTTTTCTTGCAGAAGATTTAGTTTTTTTCCCTTCGTTCTTACCTGAGTTAGTCGTATGCGGAAGTCGTCAACCAACTCCTTCTGTAGCCCAAAGAACCGGAGCTGTGCTGAAGGACTGGACAAGGCCCGGTAGCGTTCTGTAGTTGGGGAAACGAACATAAAGTCCGTTTGGAAACCGTTAAATGATTTAACTGTGAGAGCCTCGCCTCCAGCTAAGCTCACACTTATTGTGCCGCTGCCTGTCTAACTGCTGACATCTGGAACATAACCGGATCTCAGCTTTATCCTCCGGAGCAAAAACACTGAGACATCATTACCTCGGCAACCAATGACGTCCCACCTGTGATCACCTGAAGGAGAGTCATGAACGTCTCCGCACACTCGGGCGCCTTCAGCTCATCCATATCACTGATGTCTTTATACTGGGACGTCCACGCCCCCTCGGCCGAAAGCATGGCGTCCATCTTCTCCACCGCCACTGTTGATGAATGGAAACAACAGTGCTGCATCAGGCAGGATGTCTGCTTTGAGCAGAACAGGAGCAGCGGCCGGAGAACTCACTCTTCCGTTCCACAGCGAGCCACTTCTGCAGGAAGGCGTCCTCCAGCAGGATGTGCAGCAGGCCGGGCAGCGGGGCGGGGTACGAGTGACGGCCTCTCAGGTCTTTCTCAAACTGGAGCACCTCTTCCACCAGGTGGCAGAAGAGTCCGTCGTCATACAGCATCCGAGCCGCATCGCTGGCCACCTTCTCCTGGACCAGATGCACCAGGCCTCGACAGAGCTCCACCTGCAGCCGAACAGAACCAGCAGGTTGGAGCAGATGATGGCAGCATTAGAGCGACCAGAACCGCGGTCAGTGAAGCTAACTTGCTTTAGCACTGATGGTTTTCCCAGCTCGGTCAAAGACGGGCTGAATCTTCTCCTCCATGAAGGCGGAGCTGCTCTCCATCCACTTCAGCACCTGAGTCAGGTACCACTCTGGCTGCAAGCAGGACAACCCGTCTTTAGGAACAGAACTGCAGATCAGAGGCTCTCCCCTACCTTTTTCCCCCCCAGCAATAAAAAAACAAACATTTCTTTCATCCTAAAACTAAAACTTCAGCTACAGATTCAGAGTTTGAGGTCAGATGTGTGGAGCAGTTAAACCCGTTTTGCAGGAAGAAAAGATGTCAGGATTTCTACTCCCGATGAAGAGCTCAGAGAACCTGAACCCAGCAACCTAACACCCCAGACCGCAACGCAGAGAACCCCATCAGAACAGGAAGCTAAAGGTTTAGCGGACCTAGCTAGACAAAGCTCCTCTCAGAACCAGCTAGTAAAGAAAATAACCAGCTACTAAAGATAACAACCAGCTAATACAGATGATAACCAGCTAATAACGA